GAACCTGCTTAAGATTCTCTCTCTCCCTGCCCCTCCCCTGCTTGCAGTCTCCCCACTCTCTCCCTCTCTCTCAAAGAAAAGAAGAAGAAGAAGAAGAAAGAGAGAAAGAAAGAAAGAAAGAAAGAGAAAGAAAGAAAGAAAAACAGCAGAAAGAGAAAGTTAAATCAACCCAAACCTCATCACTCAGAGCTCTCTGGATGCCTTATTTCTTCCTTGGGCATCCCTTCCATACTTCTACCTCTGTCTCCCAGATTTCTGTTCCACTTTGTTTCTGTAGCCACACTTGATTAACTTCCCTGAAGCACACCCTAACCATGCTACTGTCCTGCTCCACATTCTTCACTGACTCCCCATTTTCTTCCAAATTAAGTCCAAGCCTATGTGAGACCAACAACAAGACCACACCCCCTTCTCTGTGTCCCTGCGTAGTTCCCTGCCAAACTTGGTGCACTTTCCTCCCTCACCAGGCCTCCACTTCTGCTGATCTGCCCTCGTGGGGTCCCTTCTCCTCCCCTTATATTTCTTCCTACCCAAGTCCTAAGTGAATGAAACGCTGACAGGAAATCTGATGAGGTTCTATGTAATGATGGGATCATCAGTGAGATGCCACAGTAGTTGCCCAAGTTATGGTTTATGTTTTAAAGACAGACACACACATACATACAACCAAGAACAACCTTAGGTACTAGTTGAGAAAGTCTTCTTTGGAGAATCTCCAAATGGGAATCTCCGTCTCTAATGTGGGCAGAGATGCTGATACTCAACACCAAAGGTCTCTCAGTCAGCTAGTGGGAGACATAGGACAGAAACCTGCCTATTTCCTGGTTGTTTGCCTCAGGGCTCTTCCTCCGAACTGTGTTGCTTTCCTACATTAGCCATTATGGGGCATTTTTTCATAGTCACATTGGTTGAGAGGAGTGTTCCTTGGAGACTTAGAATCTTAGAGCTGGGATAAACTCACAGGATGTTTAACTCAGAGATTTTCAAACTTCATTTAGAACTACAGTCCTCACATCAGCTGAAATTTTACATCAGAAGGCAATAGGTAAAATGACCTAGAATCCTACTTACTTGCTGGGATGGCAGTGGGGTAGAAGGCTCTCCTGGGGAAGATGTCCCTGCAAAACTGTGGGGCTCCCCACAGCAAGATTTGAAAAACACTCTTCAATCTTTTGTCCCCCAGATTCACCCATTACCACCCCCTCCCCGTTCTAAAAGACAGGAAATTGGTCTAAAGGAGTTACCGGAATTTTCCATAGTCACACTCATACTTCCTTGGAAAATATCAGTAGTTACTTATTAACTCATTAATTCCACAAATACTAAGAGCATGCCTCAGGTTAGGAACCTAAGGTTAGGGGCAGTTCATCAGAGGGACACAACAATTCTAAATATTTATCCACCTAATAACCAGAGCTTCAAAATACATGAAACAAAAACCCATTGAAATGCAAAGGAAAAAAGAGACAAATCCACAATTATAGTTGGTGATTTCAATACCACCCCCCTGTCAATAGTTGATAGAAGAAGTAAACAGAAAATCAGTAAGGATATAAAATATTTAAATACCACTATCAATCAACGTCACCTAATTGGCATTGCTAGAATACTCTACCCAAAAGCAATAGAATGAAGATTCTCTTCAAGTGTATACAGAAAGTTTGCCAAGATAGACCATATTTGGGACCATAAAATAAGTCTCAATAAAATTAAAAATACTCCGATCCTATGAAGTATTTTTTCTGGTTTTGAAGAACTTGAATCAGAAAAGAAGAGCCTAAAGATATCTACAAACCTCCCCTCAAAATTAGGAAGCTGAATTAAATACTATAAAATAGGCTATACTGGGGCACCTGAGTGGATCAGTCAGTTAAGCATCCGACTTCTGCTCAGGTCATGATCGCACAGTTCATGGGTTCGAGTCACGCATTGGGCTCCATGCTAACAGTTCAGAGCCTGGAGCCTGCTTTGGATTCTGTGTCTCCCTCTCTCTTTGCCCCTCTCCTGCTCTCTCTCTCTCCCTCTCTCTCTCTCTCTCCCAAAAATAAATAAACATTAAAAAAATTTTAAATGGCCTATAGTCCAAGGAAGAAATCAAAAGAGAAATTGGAAAGTATTTTTAACTTAGTGAAAATGAAAACAAAAAAAATTTGTGGGAATTTTATAATGCTGTACACCTACATTAGAAAGTAAGAGTGGGACCTAATGTCCTCAGCTACTCTTTTAGAAATTCAAAAAAGAAGAGTGGATGAAATCCAAACTAATCAGAGAAATAACAAAGATTAGATTGAAAACCAGCGAAACAGAAAAAAGAAAAACAATAGAGAAAAACTAGTTCTTTGAGAAGATCCGTAAACTGGATAAAAGTGTAATCTAACTGATTAGGGAAAAAATGGTTAAAAGGCATAAATTATCAATATCAGGACTGAGAGAAGTGACATCACTACAGATTAAATAGATATTAAAAAGATAATAAGTTAATGTTATGAAAAACTTCATGCCAGTAAATTCAACAAGTTAAATGGACAAATTCCTTAAAAGGTACAAAATATTAAATCTTATTCAAGAAGAGATAGATAACTCTGCTAGCTCTATATCTATTTTAAAAATTGAATTGGTGATTAAAAGCCTTCCCACAAAGAAAACTGTAGGTACAGATGCCTTCACTGCGGAATTCAGCAATCCTGTTAAGGAAGAAATGACACCAAATCCACAAAAACTCTTCCAGAAAAGGGAAGAGGAGATTACTTCTCAACTCATTCTAGAAGTCAGTATTACTCTAATGCCAAAGCTAGACAGAGACATTACAGGAAAAGGATCAACAAATATCCTTCATGAGCATAGATGCAAATAAATAAATACATAAAGAAGCAAATAAAATTTTAACAAATCGTGTTCATCATACAAAAAGAATAATGTATCATGAGCAAATAGGGGCTTATGCAAGAAACACAAAATTAGTTTAATGTTCAAAACTCAGGGTACTTCACCATTTTAACAGACTAAAAAAGAAAAACAACATGAGCATCTCTATAGGTACAGAGGAGCAGTCTGTCATTCCTGATACTTAGTCTCAGTAAGTGACAGACAGATGGGAACTTTCTCAACCTGATAAAGAGTATCTGTTAAACACCTGGAGGGGCACCTGGGTGGTTCAGGCAGCTAAGCATCCACCTCTTGATTTCTGCTCTGGTCATGATCTCCTGGCTCGTGAATTCGAGCCATGCATCAGGCTTTGTGCTGACAGTACAGAGCCTGCTTGTGATCCTCTCTTCCTCTCTCTCTTCTCCTCCCCCACTCACGCTCTTTCTATCTCTCAAAATAAATAAATAAACATGAAAAAAAAAAAAACAACAACCTGGAGCTAGCACAATACTGAATGGTAAATGATTGAATCCTTTCCCCCTAAGATCAGGAATAAGGCAAGGATGTCTGCTCTTACTAATTCTATTAAGATTGTAACTATAGCCAGTGTAACAAGTCAAGAAAAAAGAAATAAAAGTCCTCTATATTTGAAAGGAAAAAGCAAAACTATCTGTATTCAGAAACAAAATTATTGTCTATGCAAAACATACAATTGAATCTATCCAAAAATCTGATAAAACCAATAAGTAAATTTACCAAGATTGCAGGATATAAGATCAAGACACAAAAATCAGCTATATTTCTATAGACTGGCAACAAACAGTCCAAAACTGAAATTTTTAAAATTCATTTCACTGAACAATAGCACCAAAAAATATGAAACACTTAGGGATAAACCTGACAAGAGCGTGTAAGACTAATACACCGAAATTAAGAAAAATTGCTGAGAGAAAT